TTATGTTGTCAATATGTATAGTACTTCCGTTGTTTCAACAGACAGTTTTGTTTGACTACAAATATTGTATCCGTTATTTCATTAGTAAGTTATGTTGTCAATATGTATAGTACTTCCGTTGTTTCAACAGACAGTTTTGTTTGACTACAAATATTGTATCCGTTATTTCATTAGTAAGTTATGTTGTCAATATGTATAGTACTTCCGTTGTTTCAACAGACAGTTGGGTTTTGACTACAAATATTGTATCCATTTTTCATTTCCATATTGGTAATGTAGTGTGGTTATTTATCAGAGTATTTCTTATTTTAAAACCAGTTTTTCACGTCTTTTGTTGAGAAACGTCGTCGAACACCCGACGTCCTTGAGCGTTACAGATTACAAACCTTGAAATTTCCTAGAGCACGTGTCTCTTCAAGTACTACTGGGAAGAGTAGAGAGGCAGTGGTTGCTCAAACTTATGTCTTACTTTAGTCTATTTTTAACACATTTTTCAGACAATACAATTAAAAATCAGGTTTCATGAACTGTTGTTGTTTTTGTACAAAAATGTAAGTTTTATCATGGAAATCAAAGTTTTGCAAGTAAACGTTCTCACCCTGAACCAAGTCCTGTAAAAATTAGGAAGACATGAAACTATCAATTAGTTATCTGTTACGTTACAGTTCACCATTGTGTTGAAACTAATTATTAAATAAAACTATATATAGTTTCGTATGTTACGAGGACCACATCTATTAGTAACCAAATATCTGATGTTTGAGAATATGACACGTAAATACTGTATAGAAACGTTTCAATTAATGTGTTTTTCTTTGCAGATGTCCGAGTGTGGCTCAGTAGTCAACATGGTGGACTTTGACTTTAAGTTTTGTGGTTCGCCTCCCGTTACCGCAGATAAATAAATAAAAAACAATCGCTTTCCACTCTTTGGAGTCGTGGGTGTGTTATAAGTGTGATAGTCAAATCCCGCTATTCGATTAAAGTAGCTCACCAGTTGGCGATGGGTGGTGTTGACTAGCTGCCTTCATTCTAATCTGTAACTTGAAATCAGAAAAGCCTAGCGTTTCTATCAAGAACTAGATAAACAACTAAAAAATGTCGGTCTGACATGAGTAGCCCACAAGTTGGCGGTGGGTAATGTTGACTACAGTCTATCACTTCAAATTTAGGGACGCAAGCACGGAGGTTTATGTGAAATCCAACAAACACTATTTTTAGATATGTTGATGGTTTACAAATATTCTCATTTATTATAATAAATGACTTTCTGTTTTGATAAGGTTATTCAAGTTTATCTGTGATGATTTGTGTACCAAACAGGCGAATATTTTAACATATTTACTAATATACCAACGTTAGACTTTGCGTTACTATGTTTTCTTTAGTTATCTTTATCAGCGCTATTCTGACCACTTACTTGTTCTGTTGTATAATTATTACCTCACGGTATACACATAACATAACTTAACCAGAGAAATATTTCAGCTTATATTAATTTTTTTAAATATGGTGAAAACTAATCTATTTTAGTCTATTTGTATGAATTATATTTTGTCCAATAAAGTAAAAGAAAATACTTTGAGTTTAAGTGGTGTTTACTTACAATCTTAAATTAAAAAAGCACACCATTTAATTAAGAAAGTTAGACGAGGATACAAAAGCACAATGACGTTTTTAAAAGTTTTCAAAGTAATATTACATACAGTATAAAAATAGGTTGTAAATGACTTTATTTATTAATAAATAAACACATTTTTGTTTCACAGTTTTGCACGAAGATACCCAAGGGTTACCTAGACAAAAATACGAAATTCTATTCCCGGAGAGTTTTCGAGAGGTGGATCTTTCTTCATCAAAGATGAAACAGGGACGTTTTCGAGAGGTGGGCTGTTTCTTAATCAGTGAGAAACATTCCATTTTGGCCCTGATAAAGAAAGAAAGATCCACGTTTTTAAAGTGCTCGGAATATAGGGTTTATTACATTTGTCTACAACTGATTTGTTTGAAACTACGTGTTTTAATAACTTTATGATCATAGCGTAGCCGTCCCTAGTTAAAAACTGATGGTATAGAATGGAAGTCAGCTAGTAAGCAGCACTCACTGCCAGTTCTTTGGCTACTTTTGCCTAACCGAAAAGTGAGATTATTACATTAAATACTTGATAAATTTATTCTATTTCAAATAGTTAATAACCGTTGTATTCCGGAAACAAAAAAAAATCTTTATTAATCAAACATTTCTGCCAATCTAGAAAAAAAAAAGTCTCAAACTTTAAGGTGATCAATTTTTAACAAAATATTAATATTAACTTCCAATCAGAGAAACTATCTATATAGATCAAAAATTAAAAACATCTCGGTGATGGATGTAGCTAACTAAATGTACTCTTCTTGAAATATTAGAAAACATTGTTTTATCAATTGGTTAACTATATTTTCGTCCAATAATATCTCATGAGTTTCGACCAGGTTAAAAGATTTAGGTGAATCGTAAATCTGTTTACTAAGATAACAATGTAAATTAATCTGTGTAATATAATGCTAAAAATCGAGATTTGATACTCGCTGTGGGCACAGCATAAATGGCCCATTGTGCTTAATAAAAAAGAATATTGAAATGAGTAAAAGTGCGTGCGCATCTATTGACTATTTTCAAAATTTGTATCTCTGCCATATTCGGATTGTTTTTAAGATTTGATTAAAGGAAAACTCTTCTTGCTTCAACTAGTTTTAGTCAAACATAAAACTTTTGGATTCGTTTATTAACTATTTTCCGACGTTATGAGTGAGAACTTTGTTTATTATATGAGATAAGCCTTAAAAATGCAAAGACAATATCAAGTTTTGGATTTTTTTCTGCCTGTCAATGTCGCATGTATCAATATTCATTCCAAGAATAAAATACGGTGTGTGTGTGTTAGAGAGTTGGTAAGCTAAATTCTAAACACTTTAGATACATGTACTTATATAGATTATTTTAGACAACTATTAACCCTAACAAGTTTATAATTCTTAAAAATAAATATATAGATTACTAGATTTCAATATGTGAAAAAAGTATTAACTTTTATTTAAAAAACTGTCTAGCTACGTCATTAATATGACAATATGAGTTTAATACATTTTCAAAGTCACAAAATATTGTTCATAATAGTATGATTTTTCAGACTCACGTACATAATTTAAACTTGAATATACAAGTTATTTCCTTTCGCACAGTATATATTTGTATATTGTGAATTTTTGTAGGCTGTCAACAGATAAGGTACGGATTAGTCCAATAAAAACGGAGTTGTTTCCATACTGAAGGAGCTCTTCCACACTATAGCACGTGTTTCAACGCTGTAAGAGATGTTTCCATATTGAAAAAGTTGTTTTCACACTCAAAAGCTGTTATGACATTAAAGAAGTTGTGTTTACACATAAAAAGGTATTTAGACACTAAAGGAGTTATTTCCTTACTGAAGGAGGTGTTTTCATTGAAGGTCCGATCAAGGCTTGGAGGAATCTTCGTATTTATATATCCATATAAAATGCACATGAACCTTATTCAATGCAGACAGTAGTTCGGCTATCTTTAAGATACTGACCACAATCTGGTGACAATATCAGGCAAAATCTTGAAAGCTGCTTCTAACTTCACACTACCAGAGCTCAGTTGATTGACAGAAAAAACTTCAATTTCACGCACACGAGCATGCACCTGTCTCGTTTAAATTTGAATTCTGCATCTTTGACGAATTAGAAACTATTATTAGGTTCTCAGGTGTGGCTTGAAACGTGTAATCAAAATCAAATATTCCATCCACATGGATGATACATATCTCCCATTGTAGTCCTCTACAGTGTAAGTTGTGGGTACATGACATAACTAATAGTTAAATCAGATATTGACATAACTAATAATTAAATAAAACAGTGACATAACTAATAGTTAAATCAGATAGTTACATAACTAATAATCGAGCCAAATAGTTACATGACTCCATAGCTGTGTATCACTACGAAAGCTCCAGTTGCAAAGAAACGTCTCGAGGATCGAAAGCCGGGATACAAAATCGAAACCACGAACACCTGAACATCAGAACTGTAAACCCCACACAAGTAGCAGCAGTACAGACATTGAACTGTAAAGACAGACCATCGAACAAGCAACACTTCAAGATCCTTCTCAGACCACATTGTGATTGGAAGTTAAATATAGGATAGGCTAGAAGGATGTTGGTTCAACTCTATTAGGATTTGACCTAAACATACAAAACTTAATCATAATTATATGAAGACTATCTCATGTAAGGTACGGAAAGTAAGAAGTGAATAAAGAAACGTTTGTAAATAAAAAACGTTCATCATCTGTTAATGCTACACACATTTCCTGTTATTATTACCAAAGTAAGTTTCTACTGAATGTTAAACTCATGTTTTTAGACTATTTTCTAATAACATTTGTTTAGTATTAAAATATTAGTTCACTGCAACTTACGTTATTTGTTATATTATAAAATCTTTAGCTGATGGTTAATTCAGTCATTCATATGTAAATACATTTGTTTCCAGTTCTTGAGTTTCCTCAGTATTATCGTGAATCTATGTAGTTCTGTGTGATTTCAGTTTTACCAGGTTTCTTATAGATTGAGTGATTTCAGTTTTACCAGGTTTCTTATGGATTCAGTGATTTCAGTTTTACCAGGTTGTCAGTGAATGATAAAATATTTAAAACCAGTTTGTAGAAATGACGTAATCCGTATAGTAGACAGTATTTAAAAGAGTTTAAATTATCCATCAGACTATTCGACTATTATTGCAAAAAAATTTTTCATGTTTAATGTGTGTTAGAACACGTTAGTATTGTGACCTGTTTACCTGATGTGAAATGTTCTTTTTATCAGATTTTGTATTGTTGTTTTCTCTTTAGTTTACTTTGACCAAACTGTAAACATTACATACTGCAGTATTAATCTGTTTATTCACTTATAATTTATTGATTGTAAAACAATTGTACGGGTTCTCTAGTATTTTACTTTACAAAATAAAAACTATATCAGATATAACAAGTTTATTTGAATATTTTATAGTTTTCTCATAAAATACGTAATACAAGATAAGTCGCTTTGAAGTTCCTGATCAGGTTATCTGCATGTAGAGAGAGAGAAAAATTAAAATGTAAACACAGTTATGTATACAAAAACAAAATGCTTTCAAGATACCATACAACACATCATATACGTTATTCCAGCCTACACAGGTTTTTAATATGCCACAACTGTTCTTATTTTCAAGATACAATAACCAAAGTAACAAGAATGTTAACTGTTGAGACAATCAAACAGAACATAATTTTTAAAATACATCAGTAAATTCAGTTCTTGTTAACATACTACTGGTCGACACCTTTGTGTTCAATCGTACAAATTTTTACTGTAAACAGAAGACGATAAGTGAAGTTAAATATTGATGTGATTTGTTAATGATTGCTGGAGGTATAATAAACGTAGGGATATCCTGAATATCACAAACAAACTTTTATCAACTTACGTTGCTTAAAGTAGCCAGTTCTAAAATACTGTAAAGTTACGTTGATAATATTGTATTAAACTATATATTAATCTTATTGATTACAGGGGCACGTATCTTATGGGAGAAGATAGGGGAGACCTTCCCAATTATTCCAGAATATAGTATAATCACATATAAGAAGGTGATCGACGTTTCTTTACCCACAAATAAAAGGAAACATTTAGAACTATGGTTCTAAATATAGTATAATCACATATAAGAAGGTGATCGACGTTTCTTTACCCACAAATAAAAGGAAACGTTTAGAACTAATGTTCTAAATATAGTATAATCACATATAAGAAGGTGATCGACGTTTCTTTACCCACAAATAAAAGGAAACATTTAGAACTATGGTTCTAAATATAGTATAATCACATATAAGAAGGTGATCGACGTTTCTTTACCCACAATAAAAGGAAACGTTTAGAACTATGGTTCTAAATATAGTATAATCACATATAAGAAGGTGATCGACGTTTCTTTACCCACAAGTAAACATAGAACTGTACAACTAATGTTAAACCTGCTGACACAGCTCCCATACCCACAATTACTCTAACTTAGTGTCTGTGTTTCGGTATATTAGTAATAAAACCAGTCACTTTCAAACTAACTATATATTAATGTGATGCAGAATGACTACTTGTTCTTTTTCTACACATTAATTCCAATCAATGTAGTTTATATCAATATAAATTGTACAGCCTTACCTTAAATTGTCGACATTTAATCCTATTGTTAACCTGAGTATCTTCCTCTAACCATGTCTTCCACCATATCTTACACCATATCTTCCTCCACCATATCTTCCTCCACCGTATCTTCCTTTACCGTATCTTCTTCCAGCATGTCTCCATCTTCCATGCTGACCTTCAACTGCAGGAAGGATGAAACAACCCAACAACAAGCAGACGACAAGAACTACAACAAGTGTCGTTTTCATGCTTCACCAACTGAACAAAATATATCATCAAATAACACACCTTTTTCATTATATAATAATAAAGTCAACAGACTGGGATAGTACAGTGATAAATACAAAGTGACAACAAATCTGATTTGTTCTTTAAAATATATGTTAATCTGTTACAGTTCACTTACATCTAGAAAAAATATTCTCCATTAGTTTACAGTCTTTAGTTCATATCTACGTTTATTTTATCACTTTAGTCACATACGTAGAAGAAACTTCTGATAAGCAACTTAAATATATTCAACAACCTGAATATCGTTTTTTAAACTAAACTTCTGTGTGATAATGGAGCACGTGCAAGATTAAGTTTACATAAAATATTTCGTGGTATAACGTCATAACAAATGAAGAATAACTTACCTTTGTTTGATGTTCTCTATAATTTCGAGGGAGAAGTATTCAGCTCTGTAGAAAGTCTGTTCTTTTATATTTACAAGTAACCTTGAGATCTAGTTATGAAACAGTTTAGGTGAGATTTCCTGCATAAGTTAATTTGTAAAAGAAACTGTCTTTATCTCTGTGGTCTCTGATTGGACAGTCAAGGATGGAAAGAGGTTTTCCCAGTTTCCACCAGGTTTCTTATGGATTGAGTGATTTCAGTTTTCAATCTATAAGAAACCTGGTAAAACTGAAATCACTCAATCCATTAGAAACCTGGTAAATTAAAACAAAGAAATTACGTGAAGTGAGCTCATCTTCAGGATGTGATGTTTTGTTTCTCATGGTGAACAGTTTTTCCATAAAGTTTTGTATTTCTAAATTTACTCAGTTGTTTCTCTTGTATTTGTAAAAATATGTATACACGTGTGTGATGTATGTCTGTAGCACTGATAACAGTTCTAATACAAGATGTATACACGTGTGTGATGTATTTCTGTAGCACTGATAACAGTTCTAAGAGGTTCATGGTACTTTAATATCTTGTTAGTGAAAGTATCGTATTTGGATCGAATTTGTGTGAGGAAATTCGTACTGGGACGGTGTAAGTCCAAAGAAATGTAAATGTAATATATGTATAACAGCATTTGAAATATGGTTGCTTTATGAATGATGGGTAGAAAATATACTATAATAGATGCCAGTGAACAAAGAGGAACGACAAAAGAGCTATCCACATTACGATGTTAATAGTGCCAGTTTTCGCTAGAGGGCTCTTTTAAAAAAACCCTTTTTTTTTGTACCTGTTGAACTTATTATTAAAATACTTATAACTACACTAAATAAATAAATAAATATAAATAAATTATTTATAAAGGGTGTTTTTTATTTTTTGTTAACTTTAGCGTATAGCTAGAGGAGGTTTATCTGCGTTAGTCATCAGTAATTTTGCCAAGATGGAAGACAGCTAGTGAACACCACCAATCACATAGTAACGTTCATCATTAAATATAAATACTGTACTTGTTATTTGTTTTATTTAAAACAGTACACAAGAGTGAATAAAAATAAAGAAACATATTTTACCACATAGTAACGTTCATCATTAAATATAAATACTGTACTTGTTATTTGTTTTATTTAAAACAGTACACAAGAGTGAATAAAAATAAAGAAACATATTTTACCACATGGTAACGTTCATCATTAAATATAAAGTCTGTACTTATTATAGGTTATATTTGAAACATATATTAAACGGGGATTGGCAGTTATTTCGTGTGAAACATTACAAGTGTAAATACATACCATTAGTAATACACACACTTAATAAAACTGAGAAACAAGTGTCCATTCTTACGTCATTGCTTATGATAACTTAATTTAGTATTTGTCTTTCTTCGGTGACGTTATCTGGTACTTCTTAATTGGCACAATCTTTGGGGCGGGCTGGAATCTTTTGTAGTACAAATGTTCGGCCAACAGGGTGAGACAGGCTGTTCCTACACCAACACCGATCACTATAAAAACTCCACCTGAAAATGTATAAACACAACATGTTTCTAATCTTTCTATTACACCAGTTTATCTTTAGATCAAATAGTATCTTTAATTAGAAAATAATAAATAAATAAAATTCTATTACACTTTCAAGACCCTCAAAATGAAATTGTAATATCGTGTAAACCTCATAAATCTTAATATTGAAATTGATAAAATAAGTTTCAATGAGACGTACTCATTTCTTAATATATTACAGTTTAAGGATTATAAATGGCGTTTTCAGGAGTTCATTCAGTAGAAAGTAGTAGACGTGAACTGTGAAATATCAGATTTAATAATAGTAACCTATTTATTGATCCAATGTTAATAAATATATTTTGAGAGGCGTAGTGAGGAGAAGGGTTAAGAGTTGCGAACGAACTCCATCATGGGCCACAAATTCTACATGCCTCCATACATTCTAGTAGGTTAACAGCGAAACCAAATATCCTTAGCACGATCATAACGCATTCAGACGTGAGCGGTACAATGTGAATGGGTAAGTATCGCACCATTTGCCCTGTATTCATCAGAAATACCCCATCAGAAAAGACGTATTGTTAACAACGACATTTAACAACATAAAATTTTAACACATTTACCAGAATAATATTAACAGCCTTACTTTTAATAATTATATATGTTTATACAACTTATTTATTAAATTCAAGTTAATAAATAGCTTGAAAAATTATATATATTTATTTACTGTTATCATATAAAATTCTATTGTTAACAACCATACTTAACAACATTAAATAGTAACTCATTTACCAAATCAAAGTTAATAGTCTTACTTTTAATAATTATAGCTGTTTATTTACTGGTATTATATAAAAGGTCTATTGTTAACAACCACTTTTAACAACATAAAATAGCAAGTTATTTATTAAATCAAAAATTATAATTACACAGACACAGGCCTGCGAATTTAAATTTGATACAGTGTTTACCCAAGAGATTAATGATGGCTCACAACTGTCAGTCCACTCTCTGGATGCTAGATTTCACAGAAGGGCTTCAGCTTATCATCATCATGGCTGTGAATGTAAGAGTCGATATACAAAAATAATCCATCGTGTGTCAACTTTGTGTGAAACGAAGAAACCTGCTGTCTGCCATGTTTGTGTGGAAGGTAAAAACCCACTACATGTCATATTTGTGTGGATAAAAGAAACCCGCTGCTTGTCATGCTTGTGTGGATAAAAGAAACCCGCTGCTTGTCATGTTTGTCGTGCCTTTTTCTACAACCAAGTCTAAGTTTAATAGCAGCCTAGAAAATTCTTAGGATATGATTGTGTCGTCATAATTGTAAAGACTGGTAAGAGCATTATTCTGCTTTTCTATTTGGTTTGTTATTTACGTCTACTTGTAATAATTGAGAGATCTATGAATTGTGTCTTGTTATGTTATATTTTAGTCTGCTTGCTGTAATCCTATGGGAAAATGTTATATTTGTTTTGAGTCCGATGCATCTTATTGTTCAGTACTTAACAGTAGATTAAGACAAATAACATCCATTGCTGATTAATTTGAGTTCAAATTCTTTTTTTTTTTTGAAGATGTTGAAACTACAAACGATATAAAGTTGTTTTAGTCAGCCACATTCTTGATTTATGTATCTGTAGATATTTGAAGAATTACTAATCTTAGGCTTCAGATACTCCTTGACACATTGTTCTAAACAACACGTGGTTGAGCCCATATCATCTCGTCCCCATCAACAACAAGCATATCGTTCTAAACAACACGTGGTTGAGCCCATATCATCTCGTCCACATCAACAACAAGCATATCAATAAACAACGTTGAAGGTTGTTAATTCTTCCTTTATCTTGACAATGTTTTGAATTCTCAATATTGATTTTGAAGCTACACATTGAAATACGTGGATAGATTTATTTCAAGATATTCCTGATTTTATTTCTCAGTACATAACTGTCTTTACTCATGAATGGAAGACTGGTATAAAATACAATTTTAGGGACATCAAAACTCACTCCATTCTTGAAATGTTTTAAGATATTTTCAAGTAATGAAAGAAGAAACCAGTTTAAAAACAACCTTTTCTTATACTTTTTATTCCTTTATAAAGATAATTATAGTTACTTAGAATACGCTAAAAACTATACAATATGACTATGACATCCTTTATATGTTGATTTATACTTTGCTATTTCAAAATGATATCCACAATTATTAATATGTAGATCTAAAAAAGGCAGCTTTGAATTGTTTTCTTATTCACCTGTAAATTTAACACAAGAATGTATATTCACTCGTTCTCGTACTTAAAAGGAAGTATCATCTGTGTATCTATGATATTTAAAAAGTGCTAAACTTTCACAATAATTACTCAATCATTGATTTTTATGATTAAAAATTACCAGACTAGGTGCTGATTTTGAGCCCAAAGCAACGTTGGATCATAAAATTATGCAAAGCTATTTTCACATTTAAAATGTAATATGTTTCAGTGGCGAAATTTAAAGGTTCAATAAAAACTGCTAATTGAACTGTGTCTTATAAAGCAAAGTTATTCAACGAGGATTCAGTGTTAAAACTCAAACAATAAACTTGTTCATCAAATCTTAAATCCACCAATCGTTTATAGATCCCAAAACCATTCCTAACTATTTACTCAGTCTTTTCAGATATTAAAAAAAAACTTTCAGAAACACTGCCAGTTCCTGATTACATGTTAGATTATTTCTAATGGGACAATTGTTATGGATTTTTGGTAAACCATCAATAATATCGCAGTAAGAACCTGAAGGTATAATATCTATATATACTCTATCACTAATCACATTACATCTTTTTAATTAACAAATATCTTAGTAAGTAGCCTTCTCTGTGGGATCAAGATTCAGTTTTCTAAATTTAGTTTCAACACATATACTAAGAGTAATATACTTAAGTAATCATCCCTATCTAAAACAAACACACTCTTTGGTTTAGTTACAGTTGTTTCTTTATTTTACCCTAAATGGTTAATTGTTTGGTTTATTTGGCTTAGTTACAGTTGTTTCTTTATTTTACCCTAAATGGTTAATTGTTTGGTTTATTTGGCTTAGTTACAGTTGTTTCTTTATTTTACCCTAAATGGTTAATTGTTTGGTTTATTTGGCTTAGTTACTAGTTGTTTCTTTATTTTACCCTAAATAGGTTAATTGTTTGGTTTATTTGACTTAGTTACTAGTTGTTTCTTTATTTTACCCTAAAATAGGTTAATTGTTT